CCCGAGTTTGGTAAAGTAGTACGGATTTCGACGATCAAGCCAGTTAATGCCTGATCTAGTGAAAAACCTGAGTACAAAGAATGTGAGATCGATAGATGCGAGTAAGTCTGCTGTGTAATGCAGCCTGGTGTTTTGCATTAGCATCAACACCAACTTGGCTTGGCAGCTAACTAGATTGGGAGGATCTACTTTGTGAAACATCCAGCTGGAACTTGGAGGACTATATCTAGTGGACGGCTACAGCAGGAACTGGATTTGTACGAATATCGACAAAGGTCTAATTCAGGTGAATCTGTGAAATGGGCACATAACCACTCTAGTAGAAATTACTTCTGAGGTTAACTGGAGCTCTGTGGCTCACAATATATTGGGCATACACATCCTGAGAGGACCTAAGCTGTGCAGAGAAATGGATCCATGGGTGAACCAGCTGGTGTCAGTAGTTGGTCATAGTAGTGACATTAGTTTGGGATGGGGAGAAGAGTTAATGATCAGAGTGTTTAAATAGGTAATTCACAGGCGAGTTGCAGGTATGGCAGTATAGTGTAGAACCAACAGATAGTCAATTGTCTGTAAGGTGGACTACTTAAATTAGACAATGACTAAAGTTGTACGTGTAGCTTGTTGTACACTCATCATATAACTATAAAACCTTAGAAAACTGTTCATATGATAGTTCCACAATAACAAACTAATAAAAATCTAATCGGCCAAAGAAGTGGCTTTAATAACAAAAAAAGAATATACTTTATTATATATTGAGATTACAAGTTTTCTTTGCAATCAAATACTTGGAATGTGTTAAAAACATTGAAATGATAAGAGAAAATCATGAAAAAACAAGAGCAGAAATCTCTTTTGAAAAAAGAAGTAGTTTTGTATAAGAAATTAAAGCTTGGGTTATTCCTCTTACAAATGAACTTCTAGTATATATAACTCTAGAATCAAATAGAAAAGAGATATTAGAAAACAAAAAATAGTTTATAGTAAAGTTATATAATATACCTTAAAATATAAATGAAGTATTACTGTTCAGACAACTTAAACATACTGATGCAAGTGTAGTATATATTTTCAAAAATTCAAATGGAAACAACAAAGGCTATGTATTAGTATTTTTCAGAAGCCAATGAGATATGATTCAAGCATAGAAGTATTCAGTTAAATATTATAATACTAAACTCTTCTAGGAGATGCCTAAAGCAGAACCAGATAAAATGTATTTCATTGCAGGAAGATTCAAGCAAGGAGCTTATATTTATGAACCAAATATAAAAAGTTTTAAAAAACGTGAATTATCTTCTGATGAATTAACCTTCTCTTACAGAAGTGAAAAGAAAAATCCAGAAAAGAGGAACAGATTAGAAAACCAAACCTACAGGAAGTTAGAAAAATATAATAAGCCTTATACAATAAGAGGAAGAAAAGAATGACATGATGAGAAGAAATATAAAGAAACCTTCAATAGTATAATATAACATATTCAAGCTTTAGAGAGAAAACTAAGTAGTTTTGAAGACTACTAAGGCCCAGAAGCTTTAAATTACTTCTAAAAGTTGCTAAAGTTAAATTAATGAAAGCTTTAGTCAATCAAGAAGAAAAACTTGAAAGACAAAACAGAGCAAAATTAAGTACAAACCAAAACAAGAAAGAACATAGAGAAAGTATAGAGAAAAGAGAGAAGAAATAAGGATCAGATGATAATAACAAGGAAAGAAGTGAAAAACAAGAAGGTATAAAAATAGGTGCACATAATATCAATAGAATTAAAGGGGACAATACAAAAGTAAAATTGTTAGCAGAGTACAGTAAATCAGAAAGGTATAATATTATTAGAATAGTAGAAACTAACATAGATGAACAAGAAGGCAAATAGATAAATACAGAAGAATATGAATATACAAGCTATTAGACAGAAGCAGAAAAAGAAAAACATAAAAAGTCAGAAATCGGGCTCCTAGTTAATTAAAACTGGTTAAGAAATATAGGAGTTTATAAAAAATATAGCCTATATTTGCTTAAAGCAGAGTTTTTTTTTAAAAGAGTAGTTTTTTAAGTTTGAATAATATACTTACTGCCTAAGAATGAAGAAATAATAAAAAAAGTTCACAAGATACTTATGAAGGAAATCATTAAGAATAGGAAAAATATAGTTTATATAATCTTAAGAGATTTCAATACAGTATTAAGTAAAAAACTTGATATGAGTAGTAAAAGAAGAAGAAATACAGATACTGGTATAAGAATTACAAAGTGGTTGAAAAAAACTGACTATATAGAAACCTTCTGATTTTGCAACTCAGAGCTAATTAAGTACTTATGAACAAATAACAATATGTCAACTAGAATAGATTATATTTGGACAATACAAGATATACAAAGCTTTATTATAGATAGCAATATGAACAAATAGAAATAGTAACAGATAGTGATCACAGAATAGTTTAGTTACAACTAGATAGCGTAGGTATTTTAGAGAAAAATAAGTAGAGAAGTAAAAAAGGACAAAAGGAAACAAAAAGACTATACCAATACCATAAGGCAACAGAAGAAGACTGGAATAACTATAGTTAAGAGGTAGAAAAAATTATTCAAAATGCAGAAAAAAGGAAAAGGAGAGAAGAAAATCAAAGAGAAACAATGCTTGAAACTAATATTGATAAAGAATAGGAGCTAATAGCCAAGGCAATACAAGTAGTAGCAAGTATATATATTTCTTTAACAAAAATGCAAAACTCAAAATATCAAATTAAAAAAGAAGCTATGAAATCTTTGTTATATAGTAAAGCTAAAGTTCTAGAAAGAATATTCAGAAAAGAGTCTAAAGATACAAGACAAAGTATAGATAGACTTAAAAAAGCAATTCTAGATTTATGAATAGAATATCTTAATACTGAATATAAGATCAACATACTACAGCTACCAAAATACTAGAACAAAGAATATTGCAATTAGAGATGTCAAATAGTTCGTCTGGTCTGGTTTTAGTGTCAGAACTTGAAAGTTTAAGTTTAAACTAGCTAGTTCAGGTAGTTCATTATGTCATTCAGACTAATATTAAAACCTTGACAAAAATGTATTCAAAAAGTGATATACAGTATAAACAGTTATATATATTATATATATGTGTATAAAGCATTATTTATAATATCATGTTTGTTTATAATTACAATAAACATATTATTATATAAATTTATACAATTAAATGAATTGATATGACCACTAATGCTAATTAATAATTCCAGAATCATATCAAGACTTAAGACATAGACTTGCACATGCTTTTTCAGAATCTAACTGATTACATATAGCACAAATAGTATGTTTTGCAATAGAAAAAATTTGTTCATTTGATACACTTGTTAACTAAACAACAAGAAAATCATGTGCTATTTGAGAAAGAGATTTCTATTATGGATTGCTTGCTTTAGATTCTCAGTAAATAAGAGAGTTGATATCTTCATCTGGTAAATTTAAGTATTTGTTCAATATATCTTTACTTGTTAATATATCTTAGTATACCTGTTTAATGTGTTATCAAAAATAATTTCAAGCAAATCTAATTTGATCTAGTTCAAAGACTTGTCTGGAATCACTTTCTGGTAATTTGTAAGCTTGATAAGTATTATATAATATTAAGTATACATTATGTTTATCTATATGATTCATAAATATTATAAATTTTGATGACAGATCAAGTAGTACTGATTCGTGAAAATAATTTTTTAGCTCATTCTAATAAGGATTAAGTTTTTTACTAATTTTGTTTGCAATATTTTTTTTAATTATATTAGATTTATTTTGTGCTTTAATTAGAGTTTTGATTATGATACAAAATACTATTTGCAAATCACCAAGAGTCAGACAGTTTGAAGAAGAAAGCAATTTAGTTGCTTCATATATTGGTTTTAAAAGTAATATAACTATCTATATTAAATATTATTAGTAATTTTATATTATATAAATAATAATATATTAATATTTTAAAATTTTAAAATTACTATAATTTGTTTCCACTCCTTATCTGTTAGATATAATTGTTGAAGTTCAGGTAATGTTTCTATTAAAATGTCTGTCATCTCCTTAATTTTGATTAACTTATTAAACATTAAATACATAGAGTTCCATCAAGTATCAACATCAATATCAGAAACTAAAAATGGCTTGTTATTTTTTGAAAAAAGTCTTTTCAATTTCTCAAAACAAAGCTATGAGCAACGAATATGTTTAGCAAATTCTCGTGCTTTTTTTATAAAACTGTCAACTATTTTTGTACTATTGTTAACTGCTAAATTTAATATATATGCTATATATCTTATTTTATGAAAAGTAGTATTATTATATTTTGATTCTAATAAATATTCAAGATAATGACTATATGTATCCATATTATATATATTATCTGCAGTAATAGATATAACTAGTTTACTTAACCTAAAGTATTCTAATTGTTCTATAATTTTTTCTGCAATATAAATACCTGTATGCTGTTCATGTAGAGGAATTATATCTAGAAGAATATGTCATAGTTTCTAATTAGTATCAATCTAATGTAGAGTTATAGAAAGATATGCTTGATTAGTACAAGCTGTCTAAGCATCAGTAGTAATTGCAACTTTATTTTTAAAGTTTAAAAAAAGTGTTTGCAGATATATTCATTCTTTTTCATATATATCATCTAAACAATTTGTAATTGTTTGCCATGTAGGCAATTTATAACATGAATCTAATTCATAAATTAATGATTTAAAATTATTATCTTTAATAGTATTAAATGGTTGTTGATCACAAATAATCTAGTGAGTTAAGAGTTTATTAAGCTTGTTGATTTTTTTTTGACTATATAGTTCTTTTCTTAATTGTTGAAATTCTTTATATTCAGCAGAATGATGTCTTTCAAAATAACATTTTATTGTACTTATTCCTGTTGTTTTTTTATAATAAGTACTAGATTGGCACAAAGTACATTTCAGCTTTCCACTAGAATACTTTAAATATTGCTAAATAAGATATGTATTCTTAGATCGTTTGATCACAGGTTCTTCAGATTCAAATTCACTATTATGTTCAGGTTCACTATAATGTTCAGATTCACTATAATATTCAGATTCATTATAATGTTCAGGTTCACTATAATGATAATATTCAGGTTCACTATAATATTCAGATTCAATTATATTATTTTTTTTGTTATTATTAAAAGTTTCTTCAATATATAAAACTTCACTTATTTCAATATTTCTAATACTAGGAAATTTACACCTGATCCGGTGAAAGAAATTTGTAGCTGAAAGATATGACTGAGTAGGTGTGAGTAAGTCTATCACACAAGGTCATACAGTAACACCAATCTGGCTTGGCAGCTAACTGGATTGGGAGAATCTGTCTCATGAAACATCTGAAAACATAGAGAACTGATCTAGTAGAAGGTCATAGTAGGAACCGGGTTTGTACGAACATCGAATAAGGGTATATACAAGCTAGATTGGGATATAGCGTAGCATAGTTAGATACCACAGTACCCCATCAGTTAGGGAGTTGGTGAAGGGACACCTTGTGATAGGGTCTAGGCTCTGAACCATAAAGTTTGTAGACTAATGTCAGCTCAGGTGTCTTCTAGGAGAAGTAGCATGGGGTTAGGCGAATTTGGTAAAAACAAGGATAGAATACAAGTAAGTGTCATAGGGCCAGAGAGTTTAAATAGGTAATCTTCAAATAGATTTCAGGTATAGCA